TATGTATGTATGTATAACAGTTCTCCCTGTGTCCAAGTTTTAGTGTTGCTAGTGCTCTGAATTGCTATCTGCGTTTTGGATATCAGGACTCAGGAGAGCAGTAGCAAGACTCCATAGATGGAATTTGGAGGCTCTGGCATGAGTGACCGAGGTCCCAGAAGAGGAAGAATGGGCCGGAGAAGGCTTGAAGATGATGAGGAGGACCCAGAGTTCATATCAAAGAACCTCCATGCCGAGAGACGGAGGAGGCAGAAACTCAGTGACAGGCTCCTGACTCTGCGTTCATCAGTCCCAATAATCACAAATGCAACTACCCAAAACCCATAACATTCTTATTTCCAATCTCCAATTTGCTATTTTACGTTCCGAACACTTCCACAATGTCTTATCAGATCCTTCTAACAATGTTTCTTTCCACCTCTTGTTTCTGGTTGTAGATGAACAAAGCAACAATAATTGAGGATGCAATTACTTACATCCAAGAGCTGCAGAAGAGTTCACAGGTTCTCACTGAACAGCTACTCGAAATGGAAGGATCGTCTGAAGAGGGAGGAAAGCCAATGGCAAATGAAATTGATGCTGCAGAAGATATGAAGAATTATGGGATCAAGGTTGTTCACCCCAATATCTTTACGTGAATCATAGTCACATTATATTTGGTCTTATCACAACATGATCTTTTTCACTCATCAATGTCTCTATCAATTGTGATGTTTCTAGGAAGACGTTAATGTGACCAACATTGACGGCAACAAGCTTCTGATAAGAATCATCATTGAGAAGAGAAGGGGTTGCTTCACTAAATTGATAGAAGCCATGAATTATCTGGGCTTTGAGCTTTGTGAAACTAATGTTACCACATGTAAAGGAGCAATGCTCTTTTCATCCTGTGTACAGGTAAGTTTAGCAAGTACAAAACTATCTCCAGAAGTAGTTGCAGAAACCTTAACATCTCCTCTGTACCACCATGTGATGGCAACAAACCCAAAATTGGTACATAACCCTTAACATGAATTCCCTATCAATAATTGATCTTTGCCCTTTTTTCAGTGAAATATCTCATTTCTGTTGCTTCCTTTTTAAAAAAAATATTAGAAAAAAATATGCCCAATGTACTGTAGTTGTCATGTGCACTATCTCAAGAATCGCCTCTCTATCCTTTGCGCACCTTTATAAACCTAAATTATCCAGCTAAAGCTTATGTTACATTCATTATGATTTCAGGAAACTTATGGGGATAATCTCATGGTAGAGCAGACCAAGGAATTTCTGTTAGAGATCATGAGAGGCATTAGAGACTGTTCTGAATGTGCTACTGATTAGTCTCTCTGGTTTATGAATTTGGGAAGACAATTCTAGGATCACAGTTTATTTTATCCAATAACATACTGAATTGTAGCAGTAATAATATGACTTAGCAGAAATTTATTGCTTATCATGGTTGAGAGGGAATCTTGATTATATTGAGAAGAACAAAAGACGAAAATGTTGCTTGATTATTTTAGAATTTCAATTTCCGTGTCTGCTGACAACTGTTCAATTGACGCTGAAAATTTGACTATTCAATTTGTTTAACAATGATCAATCATTCTGCTAAGTGCTAAGAGAGAAGTGGAGATATTTGGTTATAACTTCAAATGTTACAAGGACAGAGACAAAAGAATATGGACTAGTACTGAAGAACGTCAACTTTTATGGCTTTGTTGAATCCAGCTTTCTAGCTTGGCTTGGGTGAAGTTGCTGCATTGATGGCCATGCTTCCATCAATCCAAGAGCAAACGGCTTATTCTGTGTTGAAAGCTATCGTATGGAACATAGTTGTTAGTTCTTGTCATTTTGTTGATTCCTCACATTCTGTAAAGAAAATTAAATTGAAGAGTATCTGGGGAGTAAATCTTCTATATCTCCCCAGAATATACCTTTCCTGAACACGACCTCCCCTCATAAAATATTGGGTTATGCTAAGATCTAACATTTAAACAAATGGAACAGTTTCCCAAGTTTTCTAACCAGCATGCTACCAACTCTCTTAAAATATGCAGGACAGTCAAGATACAGTCCAAGCTTCCTTCTCTATATATATGACCAACCCTTATTTCTTGGCAGGGATTAAAAGTTTTACCCGGCTTTTTGAGTTTCATGGCTCGGATTCATCACCTTTGTATTGTTTTAGCTGCCGGGTTTTTCAGCTTCATTGTCATGTTTCAAGCAACAGATGGTTCCAGGCTCACTCCACCAGAAGCTGGGATAGATGCTGATCCACCGGATGTCAAAATGATAGCAGAGGGGCCAGTGATTAGAGCCATTGGAAAGCATTCTTCACTTGATAAGTCTGCAGCAGGCGGAGATGTCATCCTTGGAGGATTTGTGATGGCTGTGGTGGTGGCAGTTGTTTGCTACCTTCGCATCACAAGAAAGAGCCAAGAGGCCTATTCCTAGTTTCCAAAGCCCTTGCCAGCTTAGTAATAGAATTTTGGAACGTAAACTACTTACTGTCATATTGTTTAAGATGGAGGATGGATTTTTTGTAGTTAGCAAGTTGCTTGATAGAAATTCTGAAATTACACAACCTCAGAACATGGTAAAGTAGTAGAATACATTTATATACATGATTACTTTAAATTTTTATGTTTCTGATACAATAATTAGCAGTGTCCTACCATTTTTGGAAGCCTCCCAATTGAAAATTCATTCTGTAAACTATGGGGCTCACGTAATCATGGTGTTGCTCTATGTATATACTCAAGAGTTATGCTTACAGTAAAAACTAAACCCTGAAAAGATGATTTACATATCAAATAATAGCAGCAATTTTCCTTTACATTTCATGCGTGATATTGAAGATCAATGCCAAAAACCAGCGTCAGCAGGAGGAGAATTTTCTGTTTTCTAGATAAGAAGTGCTGCTAACTGACACTTGAGAATGAGCAAAATTAGCATGAGAATAGCAATCTAAAGCGGTGATTGAGATCCCCCTAACTTTTAGCTTGGAAGTTTAAGAAGATGAAGCTTTACTGAGAAGACAAGATAAGTGAAAGAGAAAATCATTCAAGATGTTTATCATCAACAGCTTTATGAACTCCAAAAATTTTGGTCACTTGATTGTGAAATCTTATCTTCCATTTTTTCCATCTTTACATCCCTACAAATACCATCTTCAAACTATATTCCATATATTGTTTTGGGAATTTTGAAAAGTAAAAGAAAAGCACAAAAAACAAATGGAAATAAAAGAAGGAAATCAAAATCTCTCTTGAATAATGAAGCAATGGAATTTTCATCTCTGATCTTGAAATCCCTTCTTCTTCCTTCCAACCTTCTCTACCAGAACTTCTGCATTTAACAGCCATTTTTAGATGAAGTAAGAACACTTAACTCCTCAAGATTCTCACAAACACAACCAAAGAACACTAATCCTAAGCAAACAGAATAAACTTAAAGAGATGAAAACTCCAAAAGACAACTTTTTCCTGGCTAAGAGATTATGTTTTCACATAGTTTCTCTGCCAACCAAAACAGAGGAAATAAGCACAATAAATAAATTCATGGTCCAAATCAATCTCGGAAAAACCCAAACAAGATCAATCAGAAAGGATTAGAGGGAGAAGACAATTACCTTGAGGCTTGCAAACAGGAGGGTCTTCAAAGAGAGAAAGAGAGAGCTGCTTATGAGCAACACCAATATCAAACAAGATAAGCCCAGAAGAAGGATCGTTCACTATGATACCTTTAACAGGCAACCACAAAAATAGCTCTTCCTGAGAGAGCCCTTCAAGCCCCACAAGCCCACCATAGCTGAGGTTAGCTCTCACCACCCGGTCAAAGTGCACTCTACCATCAAACTTGGCCATGCATGGCGTTTCCAGGTGAACTTCCAAGCGACCATCAGGGCCAAGTTGGTAGGATTTGACATTGTCTGGGAAGAGACCAGCAGGCAGGCCTTGGCTCTGGAGGAGATCTTGTATGGAGGAGGTGACTGTGAGAGGGAGGAGAAGAAAGAGAATGAAGAAAGATAAGGGTGTCAGAGTTTTCAGAGATAGAGACATTGTTCGGAGGATCTTGAGAGACAGAGACAGAAACTTGTGATGCTGAGTTTTTTCAAGGGTTTAAAAGATTTTGATTTAAGGGTGTTTTATATGGAAGTAGGGGCCAGGGAGGACTGCCCAATTTCTTGGCTGGCAATCTTAATTTCTATTCACCAAACTACCCTTTCTCAGTCTCTTACACTTTGTAGTTCTTGCCTGCTTGATGATCATATCTGGAGGGTGACTTGGGAAATCTAAAATTAGCAGAAGGTTTGTGAAAGGAATCTGACAACAATAAACAACAGTTTGTCACTCAGCCTGGGGGCGGCCAACAATGATCAGGGCAGCAGCTGCATGCCCCAGCGTGAAGATTACGAGGTTTGACAGCTTTCCTAGACTTCTTTCTGCTTTTGTTTTCCCCTTAATTTAAGTTTGTTAACCATTATCCCAATTACTAGTACTAGTTTTAAGTTAATCTCTGGATGACAAAGGATGCTTAACTCCCTTAAACAATGGGAGTCTTGACACGTAAACAGGTTACAAAACAAGAAAAAAAAAAGGCTTTGAATTAAGGTAATTAATCGGTTGCCACATTAATAAACAAAATGATTTATATACTTCTTTATCGTCTGGTATAAACAAGAACCACTTTCCTTCTCTTTATGACTTTTCCTACTGCTCTGATGATATCCTTGTAAATGTATTGATTGGAATGTCTGGTGCTTTCTTTGACCTGACCCCATTTCTGCTCGCACTTTCTCACTTTTCTTTTGGTTGTTCCCGGCATTGGTTTCTTTAATTAAAGTTATGTTAGTAACTTTTTCGATTCAAATTGTGTAGAAATTTATCTGCTGCATATCTTGTGTATGCATTTTCATTTCCTTCTGATATGAAGAAATGAACAACAGTAGTGCAGAAATATTTGAAGAGTTCGAATAAGTTTGCAACTGTTCAGGCACTGGTGGAATATGATGTTAGTAACTCCACAAGCATTCTCAAGTAATAGCCATCAAATTTAAGTTGCTGCCTATCTTATATAATCAATTATAATAATGATGTCTGTCAAGCAATTGTTGAAATTGGCCAGCTGATGCCTTGACAGCAGTTTTCATCTCTTAATTAGAGAATGCTGCAAACCTCAATCCCCTTTTAAATCTTGCTTTTTCTTCTTCTTTGGTCACCATTATTCTTTGGTTTTAGGAAAGAGTTAAACAATGATGTATATACCTAGAAAATTGTCTGTGGTTCAACATTTGGAGGCAAGACCAGAAACATGAGGGACCAATTTCTCAGAATATCATGTACAACTTACAGATTTTTACATCAGTTAATCACTTGCAACATTTGAAGCAGTACTTCAGAATTATTCAAACCAGCTGCATACAACTTTCAAGAAAAGAAAAGAAAAAGAACAGATTAGATGATGGATCTAGTGGGAGTCATGGAGGAAACACTTACTTGCAGATAGAATTGCTCACACTGCTGCAAATTTCATTAATTACAGCTTTATTTATTGCGACCATTTTGGCTAAAAGCAAAGAAAAGGGAGAAAAAGAAAGAATCAATTCAGCCATGAATATTCCTCACGATACTCCACCTGCCTACATATATGCTGTTCCTGATAGTGCCTTTCATAATTAAAGATGGGATGCTCGTAACTACCTCCATTGCCCCATCGTCCACCGTAAGAATATGAACTACCAAAAAGATAATCTGCAGTCCCCTCCCATAGGCAGTTGTCATTGCTCACTTTACTACAAACTCCCTGACAATTCCTATAATCGTTCTCTCTCTTTGCACGGGCCAAGCAGGGCCAGTAACCAAACAAACTTTCACAAAGGTCCATCGCTTCCAAGCCGTACCCTGGAGGAATTTGAGGCACCCTCTTTTCATATTCATTCCCATGACCACTCCCAGAAGAGTAACCATCGGGATAGTTTTCCTTGCTGTCTTCACCTTGGTATGAATCTACAGGCTTCTCTTTGGAATCGACATTATGATCTCCACTACTGCCCTGGGATTGCTGCTCTTGATCTTTGGCTGTGGCGGTTTTGCTTCCATTGCTAGGTTTGGCTACAGGTTCATCAACTCCATCTTTCCCATAAGGCGACTCGATGGACCCATAAGAAAAATTATTCAAGGATAGATCATTGGAATCCACTGACGAAGGAGGATAACATATCCCCTCTGAAGGGGGCAGAGGTTTGCCGTATGTTGCATCAGGATCATAGCCGCCCCCATAAGGGGTCGGATCATACTCTTCGAACGCAGGCGCGTTGAACTCTGAGACAGAATATGAGACAATAAACCGAGTCTTACCGGTAGTGTAATCGCCTCCATAAGGATCTAGGCCATACTCAACATAGTTAGGCTCACTGCAAGTGTATGATGAGTATGAAACTATCGACTGACCAATATCAGGATCATAAGCACCATAACAGGGAGCTGGATCATACTCGAAAGAAGCGCAATCGTTGTATGCATAGCTAGAATGAGAAGCTAAGGATTGTGATGGAAAAAAATCACTGTTAACACCATACGGAGTTTGATAATACTCACCGAAATTAGCATCATAATAGCTGGAGCTGTAATTGGCCATTATGGATTCATCAATATTCTTACTTGCAGTAAGCAAATTCTAGCAGAGCAAGAGAAAAATGGGTTTTTCTTTTTCTGCAAATTGCTCAAGCCATCTAGTTTCTGTGTCTTGAAAAGACATCATTATCTCTACCACACAAGACTTTATCTTATTGGAGAGATAAGGTTTCTGCACATGTGAGAAGAATGGTGAAATTGGACCTTTGATAACTACAGCTCAACTATTGTTTTTATTTGGAAAAAGATTACCACGTGAGACACCAACATCGTACCTTCAAGCAACGAGTATAAAACTAGTGGTTCATTGCTCTTAATCTACTTGCTAAATGAGATTGTCAAAATCCCATAATTGAACACATTACCTTTTTCTTTATGTCAATAGCACTAGATCCTAAAGAGATGGAACTGATCATCACCCAAAAAAAAAAAGGAATCCTAGCAGATTTTCCTAAATGGTTTTTCATGTTTCTTGAGAGGGTATTGCAAAGATGGTTAGGGAGAGCAGCTGGCAAGTCCTATCCCGGGCTTAACATGTTCTAACAAGGAATGAATGTGGACAGGTATGATCTTGACTTCTTTATTTTCCTTTTTGTTTTTTAATTTGTTTTCTTTCTCGAAATATTTGGGCAAATAATGCAGAGTGTTATCCCTTAAAACGAGGTGATAGGAACCCTTTGAAGATAGCTTAAGTCTGCGCAATTTGCCAATATGTCCACATTCTTGCGTCATTGACAAATATATCTGCTATAAAAGGCACACAGTTTCCATCCCACGCGCCACCCCCCCCCAAAAAAATGATAATAAAACAAAAGGATCGGCAGCAATCTCCTTACTAAGTTATCCACTTGCTACTCTTCCTCTCCATGTTATCAACCCGTCTCAACAAATAAATAACTAAATATCTTGCGAGTTCACCAAGAGAAGGCTCATAGCAGGAAAAGAATCCACCACGTGCAAGAAAACACATTACTTATTCTGAGCAGAGATAATAAAAAGTACATTATAAGAAGTCATAAAAAGCATATTTATACCCTGTAGATTATGCAGCAAGGGAATCTCCTCTCAAAGGTTTACATTGGTCTGTGGTGTCTTCAAGGGTACTGCTTCACCATGAGGACAGATTGGATGACAAGATTTTAGAGTAGCCATCATCCCTTGTTTCCACCAAAGGTCTGTAAAGTCCCTTGTTTCCATAAAAAATTTAAGTTAGCAAACCACAAGAAAAGAGGCACCGGGTGAAGAGCATTCTCAAGTCACCTATTCTTAACATGGACAAAAGCATTTAAAAGAGTCAAAATTCCACTTTACATTCAAAGGAATCAACTAATGGATTTCGAGTGCATTGGTACCTTGAAAACCTTCATTCTTTGCTCACTGTCAAGGCATTGTAAAATGTCTAATAGGGGTGCCACCTATCGGGATCTTCATCTGTATGGACATTCTCCATCCGTTTCTGGACATCTTTTTGACTCATGCAAAGCAATAAAATATTGAAACGACTAGTAGTGATTAAAGGAATACATTGCTTCAGGAATTGAATAGAGTACTTCTAGGTGAGGATATCAGGACATGAGAATTTCTTACATGTCCAGACCATCAGATATAGGAAGTTCCGAAACAAAATTACACACAGCGGGCTCCAGAGAAGACAACTGTTTTGAAGCATCTTCAAAGGCATACTCAATCCCTTCCTTCACAGTCTTTAAGATATCTGATCTGTGCTTGTTGTGAGCAGCACCCTCAAATGTTCCAGCAGGCTGCACAGCCAGGCCTTCGCAATCTTGAAAAGACTTGCATCTTAAGGATTCATTGTCAATTTTGGAGAGTTCCATAAAATGCTGGTAGGCCTGATTCAAATAAGATGTTGGTTGACCTCTAAGAATTTGACAGTTTTTAAATAAACAAATGGTGACAAACAAAACACATTTGTGTGGTCACAACTTATAAGAAGGACTTTAGACTGCATAGGTTAAAGAAAGATTTGGCAATAATTATGATATACCATTCAAACTTGAGGAGGTGTGGTGGATGCAAATGTTCCAAACAAGAAGCCTTGGAAATAAACACATATAAGGCAGCATGATTGTATAAATTTTGGTATACTAATAAAAGGTCATGAGTCCTACCCTTTTCAATGCTTCTAGAAAGATGCTAGAGATATCATCGTCGGTTTTCTTCAGAACTGTGATTAAATTGTTAACGATCTCCGCCATGCTACTTCCATGCATCACAAAATGAGAAATAACGTTGGGAGAAAGAAACTCCTGCAACAGCAATCGGCATCAAACAAAGAATGGTACTTCTATATTTAGAGTAAAAGAGTGTTAAGGAAATAATGATTCCATCTGATACACTGACCTTGGGACTGTATCTGTAGCAATCAACTTTGCAGCAGCAATCATGGCAGCATCTCTCTGTCTCCTCTACATACTCTTTATCCACATCTCCATCTTCTGTCTCATCTGTCACAAACATTTTTAGCAAATATATCTATCAAGGAATCCAATGAAACTTCCTAAAAGGCATTACTAAATCAAAGAAAAACAGTCAACTACAACTTCCAGTTCCAGCTCTTGAAGACACTGTCAGTATGTCTCTACCCAATAATCCAATTGCAGACAAGTTACGGATATCAAACATTGTGCTCAGCAGAGGAAATTAAAGAAATCAGTCACTTGAAATATTGAACAACTGCTCACAGAGTCCCCAAAACTTTTCAGGAACAGGGGTACTCAGACAAAATCCTAAAATTTCAAGCTTTGTTGAAGAGAATTCTCTCTTTCTAAACATAAACCACAAGTCTGTAGCATAGTACAAACCTGAGTAATAACACAAGCTTCATTAGTTGGAACTAAGAGAATATTCAACATATCTTCTTCAAAAGACATGAACATAGCTTGTTAAAGTTCACGTATTACAGCAAAAAAGGCTTACTTTACAAGCTAGTACAGTTGCAGATTTATTGTCTTCCCCAACTTTAGGATAGGTGTTGAGAAAGTATTCAAGTTCCTCAAACAAGGTCTCACGTTTTGATAGATGAGAAGGTAAGGATGCCTCAGTGACAGTTTCACTATTTTTAATTGCATTCAGCCATTCAGGGACCATGCTATTCGCAAGTAAATATTCAGAAGCAGAAAACTGGTGACCTGAATGGGCATGAACAACCAAGCTAAGAACAAATGCATTTGAAAGGAGGCTAGGAAAGGCACAATAATGAATTCTTGAGGATTGTTAACGTAACACACCTCATCATCAAGGTTTCTGAAGCTATGAAGACCTGTGATTATATCTTCATATAAGCTCTCATTCAACAGAGGCCTAGACAATTGAAGCTCATAGAACCTTTTCAAATTTACGAGAAGGTATACTCATCCTCACCATCCTGTAAATCTAAAACTCATTAATTTTTTTCCATATGGAACATAAGGCCAAAATAATAAAGAAAGGGAGTGGTGAGAAGTACCATTACTTCCTTCATTGCAGATTTAAGCTTAATAGTAAGTTCATCTTCAAGATCCTTCAATTTGTTGTGGGAAAAATCTTGCAGCTCCCCTGGACTTTCAGTGCAACAAAACTGGAAAGCTTTCAGACTTGATCTCAGTGCATCCTTCTCACCATGTTTAAAGAATGCATCTATAATGAGCTGCACAACAACTTTGAAATTCTGAAAGAAATGCATGTCAGAACTTTATATAAATTTGAGGTAAAAATTGTATCTAATAACTTCCATCAACATTTACTTCTATCACCCCACCTCCTCCTGTGTCTTTAGAGAATAAAGCTCAAGGCTCATATGCACAAAATTCTGAAAGAAATGCATGTCAGAACTTTATATAAATTTGAGGTAAAAATTGTATCTAATAACTTCCATCAACATTTACTTCTATCACCCCACCTCCTCCTGTGTCTTTAGAGAATAAAACTTAAGGCTCATATGCACAATGATTTCAAGCAGCGATAGTACTCTTTCCTTGTCTGCCAAGAATTTAAGTAGAAAAGATGGGTACTTCTTCATCATGGCAATTGTCATATCCCGTCTGTTGTTCTCAAATATTTCCTGATGTTTGGGGTAAAAAGGAGGAAGGGCAAGATTAGGAAGAGAAAGAAATTATGTTCTTTTTGAGCTTTATTGTTACATTGCTTTTGATTGTCAATAAGAACAGCTTTCCTAACTGATGCAGAAAGAAGTCCAATCAAGTTTGTAGCATCCTCCTTGGTTAGCTCAACTAATGGATTCACATCCAAGAGCAGACCGATGACACTTCCAGTCCTCCAAGTGAAATATAAATTGACATCTTAGGAAACAAAAACAGCTTATAATATTAGAGAAAAACCATTTCAATATGTTAGATTTCTTATTTGATGGTTAAAATTTTCTTTGACAGCAGGGCAGGTACGTTAAAAGTTATCCCAAGCTTCATTTAAAGATAAGCCAGTTTCCTCTTGCCCAACATAAACCTGCCTCATGATGACAGTCAAGCAATATCAGCCAATCTTATATCATTGGCCAGGTTGGCCAGCCTGCATGTGCTCTAAAAATTCTAGCACACCTTCATGGCCTTCATGTAATCCCAAACAGCATCTAGGACATAGAGACTTAAAATTGAATTTGTTGAATGTTTTCTTAGTATCTGTCGCATTCTGCCAAGATGGATCTGACCATCATTTCCTGAGATGGATATCGTTGTCAGCAGACAATATTCGTTGATGTAAACGGTGGTTCATAGGGCATGAAAAAGTCCCAAAAATATCAAACCTTTCGGGCCAGATTGGAAGCTATTAAATTTCTGAGCAATCAAGTGATCATATAGTAGTTCCCCGATAGCATGCCTGAATTCTGGCTTATAATCAACAAGCAGATCATCATACAAGGGATGCAAGTTGTCGTCAGGTAGAAGCCAATGTCAGCAAAGATGACACAGAACCTGTTTTCAACGGAAAAGCATTGCACAAATATGTCTGCAAGTATTCATCGCGCAAGAACAATGCAGGGTACAAACAAATCCAAATGCCAAGTGACTGTATGCACACCATCCGAATGTTGGGATCAATGTCTTGGTACCGATGCTTAAACAACCTTCATAAGGCAGTAGTAAGAACAAACTAGATAAGACAGAATACAAGAAGACTTTAACAATCTGACTAATGTACCAAGCTATACAGAAACTCTCCTGTGAATATATTTTCGACCATCTGCACTGTCAGATTAATCCTTTCCTGAGTTCTCAATAACCTGTCATTTAGTTGTTCCCCTTGGTTTTTTTTCGGATTTTTTAGCATTTAACTGTCTTTGAGTTGTGTATCGCTGTTCAGCGAGTGTTTTTGCATCAGAAATTAAGGACGTGACTAGTTGGAGATCCATCAGCAGAGCGGCTTGACAGTAAGCTCTTGGAGGAGTGCTGCATAGTGTTGGAAAAACCAGAGAAACTAAATCATCATCATAACATTCCACAAAATCTAGCCACGATCAGAAAAAAATGTTAAAATGCTGTTAAGCAGTGACCATGAAAGTGCTATGATGTAATCCATGCATTTGTCAAACAAAACAGCATCAAAAAGCGGCCCGTGCTGGCACTCAACAACCAAATTATCCCAGAATGAAACAAGATTCTCCTTGAACTTCTTAAACACCTTGCCTTTTGGAGTTTGGTAACCTTCAACTTCTCCCTGAAATTCCACACCATATGATTAAACTTAGCAGAAATGAAAACAAACAGTACTAAATAAAAAGGCACATAGCTTACGTTTCTACAAGGTCAACCAGAGCAACGTCAACATCACCAACATTAGCCTCATCAACAAACTCTTCCTTGGGGTTACACCTAGCTCCACCTGCCTGCACAATCCCACATTTAAAAAAAAAAAAAGGAAAAAGAAAGAAAACTTTTGTCTGAAAATTTTGCCATTAGTACCTGAAACAGTGTTGACAAGAGTTCCAACATTGAAGCTTTAGGTTCCTCCTCGTACCACTCAACCCAAATCCTGGCAGCTTCAGGGATATGTTTCCCATCTCCTCTGATAACCTCTGCAGGAACTAATCCCGTAATCTAAGGGAAAAAATGAACACTGAAAAACAGCAGGAAATCATAGCAAATATAAGTAGTACCAATCAAACTCTCATTCCTCTCAGAAGCTCGAGTTCGCTTAGCTTCGGGACCCGTCGGCTTCGCCTGTACTGCTGGGCTTCCATTGTTACCGCCAAGCTCGCGAATCCTTTCCTGCATTTGTTGTAAATAATAAACACGTTTAAGTTTTGAATTACGTACACAGAGACAAAAAAAAGGGTCTGACTCGAGCGGGGGCGACAGGACTAACTAAACCAAGCGGCGAGTGGGACAGAGGGAAGCAAGAGGCGCGTCGTCATCCACTGCTGGCAGCCTTTTCACTTTTTGTCTTTTTCCTTGTCTTTAACCCGAGGAATGGCACTCAAAGTCAAGACCAGGAAGAGACAAAACAAGTAAAAACGAAACACAAGCACTGTCAAAGATTCACTGCACTTTTTTCTTTTCACTCCTAACTCCGAAGATTGATGCCGCCGCTGCACCTACCTAGACAAGAAAAACCGTACAGATCACAGAGTAAATCAAATAAGAACCAAGAAACAAAGAATTAAGTAACAAATTACACAGAATAATAAAAAAAAGTTTTGGGAGAAGGGAGAACTTTTCCATAAAGGATAAGATGAGCTTGAGCAGTTAAAGAGACAGGTCACCTAAGTTGGAGTTAGACAAATCTGGACAAGACAAAACAATTCTGAAAGTACAATCCAACTACTCTCTCCATCCACGTTAGGGCCCTTTACTTTGGGGTCTAAGTTTAAGCCCAAAATTGCAATCACTCAATAGTTCCAGCTATCAGCCATCTTCAAAAAGGCCATGAAATAATACACAAAATATCAAAGAAAGAGAAATTAAGAATATGTGGGTGATGGTTCTCTCAATGGCTTGAATGGTTGATAAATATTATAGAATTATTGTACACGGTAGAATGGAAGCTTGGTCTCCGCCGGAAGCATACTCATTCCTGCATATGCCACATCTTCCCTTTTCTTCCAACATCCTCAATAATATTTGCTGGAAATGGTTGGCCCCTGTCACTGCATAATACAAGAACCAATATAATCATTAAGCCTTGGACCATATATTGAGTAATATATTGTATATAAGAACATAGTGATGGTTGCAATATAAGGCAAGGCCCAATTTTATTTTATTTTTTTGAAGTTTATTACGATGATGAGAAGGGTCGAACCCTCTCCAAGGCCCATTGTCAGTGGACTGGCAACGGCATTAGTACAAAACTTCGACCGTCAATTTGAAATGTGAGTGACTTTAAGATATGCTTTTCACCCCCACCAAATTGCCCAGAAACATGCCTAGAAAAATCTCATTTGATCATATCAGTACTTTACTGTTACATAGTCAAATATAGTCAGTCACTCTCTCACCAGATTCTTCGAATATTTTTCTTCTCACGGGAGTAACCAAGAAAATGCAGCTGAAACTCAAACGAATCTTTAAAAGGGAATGAAGTCTAAATCATGAAGACTAAATCCTGCAATGTGCATTGACAAAATGGTAGCAGTAGTATTTTAAAGATTAGGTTCATATTACATCATACCATCAAAAGCACTGTTCAAGGAAATCAAGAACAGGCCTAACTAGAAACGTCAATGATAATGTTAGTCTCCCAAAGTGAAATTAAATAAATGAAATCACTGTTATTTTAAGTATAATCGTTTGACCCAATCTTACATTATATCAGTAGTTCAACAAAACGCGTTTGTTTTTAGAGGGTAGGCATGAGGAAAAGGGAGGAAAGGAACACTAAGAAACAGTGGAAGCAATTAAACCAACTCTTGTTTATACAGTACGTTTTTGTCTCTTTTTGTGTGATTCTATCTGGAAATTTTGCTCCAGGGATTATTAATTTATTAGTTGCCTGCATTCTTTAATCTTTAATTGGGCTATGCATTTGATAATCATGGGAGAAAGAAGAGAAGAAGGATGGTCCAGATATCCTTTTGTCTTCAAACATAGTAATTGTTTATCTTCAATTTGGCTTAGGCAAACTGAACTGAATTTTAATAGTTTGTCTGTGATTGAACTCTGAGTAAGCCAATGGAATATTGTTTGACTTTAGTTGATGCATCCAAGGCTTTTTTGTATCTACCACATCAAGGATTCCAGGATTTCTACATATCTATCATAACTCCTTTTGCAAAAGAAATTCAACTTGATTATTATGTATCTGGTTGCATTACAATAGTTCTGATCTCGATATCTTGCGCAACGGTCAAGATCATTTCTCTCTACCAAGTTCTACAGGAGCAGTTTAACCTTCCTTTGTGGGTCATTTGGAATGTTGTCCTTGGAGGAAAGCTGTATTGACCCTTTGGAAGGATAAGAAGTTGTGTCAGGTTTTGTTTGACTTAAGCTGGTAACAACATATCCGACAGAATTGTCTAATCTTGTTTCCCATTCTTAATTGTCTTTAAACCCGCATAATACCAAAAAGCTATCCAATATGATTCTTCTTCTACATCATCTTGTTTTTGTTTTCATTTTCATATAGGGTAAGTTACTTAATCAATCATCTCAAAGAAATTCTCTGCGAGGGATTAGCTGCACAGCTTTCTGAACATACAAAAACAAATTTATTGAACCATAACTTTTGGCTCTCTGCACAGCTTTTGCTATGCAGTTTATCTAGTATATATCTATTAGAACTAGTAATCTTTCACTAGCTACTTGGATGTTTCACGAGGTAAGAATTTAAAATGTGAACAGGTAATTTCAGATGAGACAAAAGAGGGGGGAGAAACAAGGAGTGTGGACAAAGTACTGAGCAGGGAAATTCTTTCCCTAGCAATTATGGCAAGAAAGAAATTAAGAAGGAATAAGAAAAAGAGTAGGTCCAACCCGTCTCTCTACCCCTTTTTACCATCATCAAAAACCCTAAAACAACATTTCCTTGTATAACTCATAAACCTGAGTCCATGGCTTTGGAAAGTCCTTTGATCAATTACATTGAAATTGACTCATCTGCCAATTGTTTCTAAATGTGTAATGATCATGTCAAGCTGTGGGGCCTTTCATACCAGTTTCATAAGCTTAGAGAATATAACAAAACTAGCCCCCCCACCCCCCCGCTCCTCCTCCCAATGGATGTGATTGCAAAATTCAAATCCATTCAATCAATTACATTAATTGTCCAGATAGTTGGTGTCAAGTATATCAAAATTCTGACTAATAGTTCAGACTTCACAAAGAAGCTTTAATTGTCAGGGGAGAAGGAAAAGAATTGCATCCACAAGAACAGCTTTACAATCTAATGAATGCCAACATTCTGAAAATGAAAGAAGAAGGAACCGCCAGGTCCACTGACAGAAGAAAACACAGAGAAAATACTGAAGTCATCTTTCACTTGCAGACCAATGTAAAAAGAAATAATCAAGGACATGTGTAAGCATAAGCTAACAAGGAATGACCCTTATTTCAATCAGTGTCCTATAATCCATCTTAAGAATATTAAAGAGAGGGGGAGGGTATTATCCTGGGTCCCTCAAAATGACTACAAAAGCATGTTTCAAACATGGGTCAATCATCTCATGTCAACCCCACCAAAATGGAAGACAAATTTTTTTGGTGACATTTTCATAAGTCCGCAAAACCAATGATGAATGACCTGTCGTGCTTTGGAATTTAGGAGTTTTCTTTCGCTCTCTTTGGTGCAAATTGCATTTCAAAACAAAATTTCAAACCCCATAAAGATAGAAGTCAATCTAGACAGGGATGGCCATGGAGGGAACATGCACCTAATTTTAAAGAGAAAGGGATTACAAGTAATACCATTGGGGTTATATAGTAGGTAAGAGTTACAAGGATTTGAACAAGTAACCCTCGACATTAATAATGACTCCTAAATGATAGAATTCAGATATGGGACGGCAACGATAAAAGGAAGGGAACCACCCCTTGGAGCTTTTAATTTTATCTTTAATCATTTTCTCATCGAGCATGCCATAGCCACACACATGAATATAATGAATCATGCTTGTCACTATACTATTTGTTGATCTCCTTATTGCTAATTAATTACTTCTTTTTTCTCCGTAAATGAGTTGGTTAAAGTATTTGTAAATGAAATTATTGTTTGATCACAGAGGATTGCACATGAGTTTCCATGAAACTTAAGGTTGATCTTAACACGTGGGAATCGAAAAGGAAAGAAATCATGGCCTGGCAACTATTATTATATAAAAAATGAAACTAGTTATTCCAACTTGCATTACTATTCCTATAAGTAGGGACGATATCCTTAAGCCACTACAAGAAACAAGATTTCACCGATTGTTTTTTTTTATTTTAAATTCTAACATGAAACTCATTTTCACTAATTGATATCTATAATGCACATTATAACCGTGAAATTCACGAATACATAAAATTTTTACTTACATGAATATAAATACAACAATGATATCGATATATCAATTATATATATATTAGTACTATTAGTTTAAAATGATTAGAACACGATCATGCTTTAAGAATGTGTTAAGTTTTTAAACCCCACCACCATCATGTGTCACCCAATTCGATAATCAATCCTTAATTAAATCATGTAAGGGTTAATGCTCAATATCTTATAGGTGTTTAAGTGTAGAGAAAGGGAAAGGATGTGTGTAAAAAGGAAGAGAGTAGAACAAGAGAAAAGGGCGGCTGTTGGCTATGGTGCGTGTTTCACCGAGTTTGGGGTTGACCATTAACGAGCAAAGCCACTACGCACGTTGGAAATCACAAAACATATGGACCATCTTGGGTTTGAAACCCTTTGTTGGTCAACCCACGGCCACAAAATAAAAACTTATGGCCTCTCCTTCTCCTCTTTTCCATTGTTTATATTTGCTCGCGTTAAGCTCCTTCCCTTTCTCGTGGGCTCTTCGGCATGTGTTTTTTGCCTGCTTCAAGTTGCCACGTGATAGCATTGTACTTTACCAAGGTCACCATTGCTCTCTTCTCAACCATACCTATGTACTCGTCTTTTTCCTTGTCATTTTTTACACCTCTTGATTCCCTCAGTGTTACATCTCTATAGTATATTTCTACGTATAGATATACATACGTATAACATATTCGATCAGGTACATTTGGATCAAACATCGTACACTTGTACAAAGCATTAAGTGTTTGAAGATTGATTGCATTCATACCTCCAAGTTTAATTACACACCATGTTTGAAATATCACACAAAACTTGATCACTACCACTACCTAATTGAAGCATTGTGTTTTCATATAATTAA